TAGTGTAGTGTAAGCACCTCTAGTGGTTGACAGTCACTAGAGGTAGATTTTAACCCTGTTATGTAAAACAGTCTAGTTAAAATGAGAGGGCCAGTGCACCCAGACCACTTTTTTGAGGTGATGTGGTCTTGGTGATTATAACACTGCCTGTAATCACACTTACAGGCAGTATTAATGAACACACTGGGGCAAAGCCCCTAATATTTTGGTATAAACGTGCCTTGGTGTATTGTGAAAGGACTCCTGGGATGAAGTCGAGCGTTTGCCAAAATGTAAGAGATTGTGATCCAGTGTCTTCATGCATAACTGTGTGTATTTCTATACATGTCAAAGGAGTACTGAATGAATAATTTTTATTATTGAATATGTTCTGAATTGCATTGATTTATTGTTTTTATATCTATATGCTGCCAAAGCCATCTCTGGTCCCAGCAGTGTTGCGTTTAAGACCTTTAGTTTGTTACTTCTTTCATTATCCAAACTCACAACATTGGCAGCTTTCTGATGGTGTGTAGCAACCTAAATGTTTCAATAAGTGGTCAGCGGTAGCCAGACCTCTTGGCTTTTAAGCCCTTCCTGCCATGTTAATGTTTTCCTCTGTGTTCTATTTTCAGGTGAGAGTTTACAATCTAGCACAGTATGAGCACAGTGCTGACGATGTGTTGGTTTTGGCCACGGATGGTCTGTGGGATGTACTGTCAAATGAAGAAGTCTCAGAAGCTGTTACAAATTTTTTAGCAAATTGTGACCCCGATGACCCTCACAGGTTTGTACTCATCTTTTTCGACTTATTAGCTATACACAATATGGGAATTTGAAGATTGATATGCAATGTTACAGTGCAGTAGGTAGGATCAGTTGAATTCTTAGTTGGGTTAGTATTAGCAGAAACTGTAGGCCCCCTTACATCACTTTACAGATCCCCAGTTGGACGTCATCTTTATATATTGTGTACAATTCAGAACAACATATTTCCAGGGGATATAAATGAGCTAGAAACTGTTCAAAGTACGGCTAATAAAATAATAAATTCTTTATAAGAAAAATAAAACTTACAAAGAAATGCTTGATGACCTGAATATATATCCCAGAGGAGAGACGGTAAAAAGCTACATGAGAACAAGGGGTCATGTGTTTAAGATAACCGGATTTACATAAAGGGTAGTTGGTCCATGAAATAGAATTCCAGTGGAAGTGGTGAAGAAGTGGTGTAAGTGAATTTAAAGGAACAGTTTGAGCAACATAACAACTTCATCGACATGGTGCCAGTAGGCCCCTGGCACTTCAAACCTTTCACCACTTCCTTTAAAATAATTTCTGAAAGGGGTTTGTGGACGGGGATTGAGTTAAACAGGGATGCAGAGAAGACTTTGAGGTTAAATCATTCATGAATGTTTAACCCTTATTGGTAAGGAAGGGACATAGGCCTCCTGGTAATCATATAACATCTTAATTTTCATTAAGTTGTTATGGTGCCCAGAGTATTCCCTTAAGACTTGCTGTAAATGCAGGAGGTTATCATATGAGCAAATTGAGAACTAAGAATTCAGTAACATTGTAATGTCATAGTTTGAATCACTTTGATATGGAAAGATATGGGTTCTTTCTGTAAAGGCACATTTGAGCTAAAACTTGATTAAAGGACCACTATAGGCACCCAGACCACTTCAGCTCAATGAAGTGGTCTGGGTGCCAGGGCCATCTAGGGTTAACCCTGCAGCTGTAAACATAGCAGTTTCAGAGAAACTGCTATGTTTACAATAGGGTTAATCCAGCCTCTACTGGCTGTCTCACTGACAGCCGCTAGAGGTGCTTCTCACTGTGAAAATCACAGTGAGAAGACACTGATGTCCATAGGAAAGCATTGAGATTGAATGCTGATTGAAAGCATTGACTGATTGAATGCGCGCGCGGCTCTTGCAGCACATGCGCATTCGGCGGAAGAGGGAGGAGAGTTCCCCAGCGCTTGAGAAAGGTAAGAGTTTAACCCCTTCCTTCCCCTTCAACCCGGCGGGAGTGGGACCTAAACACCCTATAGTGCAGGAAAACGAGTTTGTTTTCCTGGCACTATAGTGGTCCTTTAAGTGTGTGAGTGAGGGCATGTTATTAAGTCATTAGTAAGTAGTACTGAATTTAGTTTGCGCTGGAATACCCTTGTTATCTACTAGTTTGTTTGGTCTTCTCAAGCATAATGGTGACTAGAGATTTGTGTTATTTAGAGATTTATAAGTGTTTTCATAGAAGTAAATCAGGATCATCCCTAGAGCATATAAATGTGCATGAACGCTCTTGTGGTCTTAAATAATAAATGTTACTGTCGTTTAATCTTCTGAGTGCTGATGTAATCAATACAGGTTGACGACTCCAAAATGTAGCGAGAGCAACATTGATCTGCTACACAGCTTTTCGGTTTAATTTTTTTTCTCTATTGTCTGCACACTTTTTTTTTTTTTATCGTATTTTCTCTTGTCTCATAGATACACACTGGCAGCTCAGGATCTTGTGATGCGTGCAAGAGGAGTACTGAAAGACAGAGGCTGGAGAATTTCCAACGACAGGCTGGGTTCAGGAGATGATATCTCCGTTTATGTCATACCTTTAGCACATGGCAATAGACTAGTATGAGCTCAGCTATTTCATGTCATAAATAGTTGAGGACATGGTCAGTTTTCTATTGGTGATGTACTGTTAGAATATTGTGAATGGAAACATGGAGGAATTTGGGCATTGAGTATTCTTTAATATAAACCATTCCATAACTTGTACATTTGAAGCTCATACAGTGTATATTTAAATGCTGCTATCATTCTGTGATTCGTTCTGTTGTTACCCAGCCCATTTATTGATTTTGTGTTTTGTTTAAATGTAAATTATTTTCACTGTGTTACGAACATAATTAAAACAGCTGTTTGCAATACATTGAAAATGTATTGAAAGATGGCGTGGTTTGAACGGGGACTAAAGATATTTAAACCATTGTGTCCGTTCATAAACTTAGGTCTTGTGAATATTATATGTTTCTTAATTTTCTTGTCACTGAGAACCTCCATCTTGACGGCAATTGCGTAATCTCTCAACATTATTTAACTTTATATTCACCAATACTTTTGTAAAAGCTGACTTTCTATAACATACGTGCAGTGGAAAAGTGAGCTGCAGGGTGCATGACAAAGTATAGAAAATTCAGTTGTCTTTTACACAAAATTCAGAAAGATAATCTCCAAATAATTACTTAAAATATCTCTAAGAATTTCTGAAGTTAAATGCAATAAGTCAGAGACCTCAAATGGGGAAATATCTGCTTTAAAATTTCAGAATGTGCATCAGATAATTTGTTTTATATATTTTTTTTCTTCTGATAAAATAGCACTACATATATTGACCAAGACAAATCACTGGTTATTATTGATTCTTAAAGGGACACTATAGTACCCAAAACAAATTTAGCTTAATTGAGCAGTTTTAGTGTATAGATCATGCCCCTACAATTTCACTGCTCAATTATTTGCCATTTAGGAGTAAAATGACACTTGTTTGTGTTGATTCAGCCCTAGTCACACCTCCCATGATTAAGACAAGCAAAGCCAACATGAAAAAAAAATGGTTTATTTTCATTCAGAACTTGTTTTAGAAGTTTATATATCGTGCTCTGTAAAATGAACTTTAATCACAAGCAGGATTGTGGATCTCACTTTACAGGAAGTATTTAGGAAGGCTGTGTATGTTACATGCAGGAAGGTGTGTATCAGGCTGCATAAACTAAGTGACTTAACTCCTAAATGGCAGAAAGTTGAGCAGTGAGGCAGCAGGGTCATGATATATACACCAAAACTGCTTAATAAAGCTAAAGTTGTTTTGTTGCCTATAGTGTCCCTTTAAGTACTTTAACATTTGTGTTGTCCATTTCTCTAAGCCAACACACAATCCAGGTCTTCTGTTTGCATTTCTAAAGGGTTATAATGTTACTTGTCTTGAGAACTTGTCTGATGCATTCAAATCCTTCTCTGCCGAGAGCTTATTGCTCTTTTATTTTTTTTATGTTCAGAATTATAAAGAATCAATTCTGCAGCCTTTCAAACTGACGCAATTTAAAAATCAGCCAGAACAGACATTGATCATGATACGGAAGCTTGTTATGGCTTTAGTACTTGGAAGGACAGATAATCAGATCAGATTTTCTCTTTTTTTTTAATATTTATATATATATATTTTTACTTGAATATCTGTTCTATTACTTTAAAATGTGAAGGTTAAAGATGCTACTTAGAAACTTATACTGGGGACACTAAACTAATGATGCTATGTTAATTTACGGGCTTTTCATGTATGATGGGATTCACACAAATAACAATTCCAGCTGCCTATAAAACATGTATTTATATGTATTGTCTCCCTGCCAGAGGTCCCAGCCCTAGAGCTATCTGAAAAGACCACGCAATCCACCGTACTTTGCATAAGTTAGTAACCTGCAGCTTTCCTACTTAAGCTTGTGAATGTGTGGCTATGCTAATTACAAAGAACTCCTATTATCAATTCTGTATAAGACAGCTTGAAGTGAGTGGCTGTCATGGCAGCCTGCATGTTTCACTATGATACGTGTCACACTCGGTACACGCTCACATAACGTGTGTCTTAAAATGACATACCATTTTATCCTGATTCTGGGATCACTGTGCTCTTAATAATATCTACTATTAATTAATCACTTTATTTGGGGCAGTGTACTAATGCAACAACGTAGCAATCTTTAGTGTTGATACAACTAAAGGGAATTAAAATTTATTGAGGTGTTTGGTGGGTTAATTGCCTTGTGCCTAAATTACTGGCGCCCCTTGCAGGTATATTACCACTGGAGGGCACCGGGTATGAAGGTGTGTGCATGCAGGTAATTGAAACATGCTATCTCATATACATCATTACTATTTATATAATATATAATATTATAGGTTATATGTTATATAGATTATATTATTTTAATATAAATATATTTGTGTCTGTGAATTACTTAAAAGCTTAGTGTCTTTTTTTTTTTTAAATGTCAGGAGTATCCAAAGGGACAAAACTTCAAACGTCTTACTTGAAGCTTACTCCATATACGGCTATTTGCCCCTATTATTAGGCCGTTTGGCCTGTAATTGTGGGAGAGGCTTAAGTTAACTCACTCCCCTATATAAGGTACACCCCTTAACTGACTCCTTACCGATCAAGGTCAGCTTCTGAATGACCCTCCCACCCACTCCTCAATCATAACACTTTCTACTTTTCTTTACCTTTACTTTACTTTTCTTACTCCTTGGTGGGCCCTCTTTATTTACAGGCCTACCGTATCGTCGGTCTCGGCACACCACCACCGACTTGCTCTTTTATACTATCCTAAGTTCTTACTTGAACCTTACTCCATATACGGCTATTGGCCCCTTACACAAATATATATATATATATAGAGAGAGAGAGAGAGAGAGCGATCAGCCACAATATTAAAACCATCTGCCTAATATTGTGTCCCCCTCATGCTGCCACAAAACTTCTGTAAGTGTCCTGTGCTGGCACCAAGACATTAGCAGCAGATTCTTTAAGTCCAGAAATTTGTGAGGTGGGGCCTTCATAGATTGGATTTGTTGTTCCAGTACATCCCATAGATGTGGATTAGATTGAGTTTTGGGGAATTTGGAGGCCGAGGCAACACCTTGACCTTTTTGTCTCTCAAACTGATGCTAAACAATATTTGCAGTGTGGCAGAGTGCATTATCCTGCTAAAAGAGACCACTAACATCAGGGAATACCATTGCGGTGAAAGTAGGTAGGTATCAAAGTAACATTCACATAAATGCCAGGACCCAAGTTTTCCCAGCAGAACATTGTCCAGAGCATAACAGTACCTCCACCAGCTTGCCTACGTCCCGAGAATAACGATGCACATGCACCCAGCAATCCACCAGTCCACCTGATCTAAAAGAAAGTGTGATTTATCAGACCAGGTAACCTTCTTCTATTGCTCCATGGTCCAGTTCTGATGCTCATGTCCCCAATGAAGGAACTTACAGGCTGCAGCTACACAGCCCTATGTGCAGCAAACTGCAATGCGCTGTGTGTTCTGACAACTTTCTATCATGGCCAGCATAACGTTTTTCAGCAATTTGAGCTACAGTGACTCTTTTGTGTGATCAGGCCAGAAGGACTAGCCTTTGCCCTCCATGCATCAGTGAGTCTTTGGCACCCTGAAGCCAGTATACCGGTTGTCCTTCCTTGCACCACTTTTGGTTGTCCTTCCTTGTACCACTTTTGGTAGATACTAACCACTGCATACCAGGAACCCACCGTTTTGGAGATGCTCTGACCCAGTCATCTACCCATCACCATTTGGCCCTTGTCAAAGTCACTCAGATTTTTTCACTTGCACATTTATTTCTGCTTCCAACACGTGAAATTCAAAAACCGACTGTTCACATGCTGATTAATATATCCCACCCTTGATGCTATTGTAACGATATAATGTTATTCATGTCACCTGTCAGTGGTTTTAACGTTGTCGCTGATCAGCGTATAAATATATATATGTGTGTGCGTGTGTGTGTGTGCATGTGCTCATACTGTGCAGTTTGTATGTATCACACGAATGAGAGCAAGATGAAAAGCTTTACTTGCATTTTTAAGAAAAAGGAATACTCCAAACATTATAACCGCAGTGCCCCAGCCAGTAATTTGTCAAACTGTTTTATAATGATTTAATAACCTCTCTGGGTCCCTAGGCATTGGCATTTCATTCATTATTCTTCTGCAAAAGAAGCCAGTTGGCTCTGTTTAGCTAATCACAACACGGCTGATGCTCTCGGCCAATGAGCACGACCATGCTAATCAATTTCTCCTGCAGAAGATTCCAGGAAGTAGAGGATGTGGCTGCAGGCACCAAGATAGATCATTTTTCAAACTGTTCTAAAACTGTTAGATTATACTAGGACAGCACCAGAGCATGTCTGGCACCATAACCACTGCAGTGAGCTGTGGCAGTTATGGTGCTTCGAGGATTCCCTTAAAGCTGATTTTTTTTTTGGGGGTGGGGGCAATCTAAGTAGATGGAATTAATTTTGATCGGTAAAAGTGGTACAGTAATTTTTAAATGCTGTATAGTTTTATACTCTCCGTAAGGTACCCCCTATTTATCTTCCCAAAATGCTGCCAACTTTATGTATATTATATGTATATCTGATTATTTGGAGCCTTACAAATGCTATATATAAAAAAAAATCTCCGGGATGCTGTTGGATACATTATTTAATATTTACTTGATGTGCATCTTTACTGTAATATTGGTTCAACTGGCAAAATAGAATGAATATAATGTTAAAAATGTAGTTTATTTTTGGCATTAAAGGAAAACCCTGTTGAAAAGCTTCATTGAGGTTATTCTGGTGCCAGGAGGTCCCTAGTGCAGGAAAAAAAGACTATGGGTTTAAACCCTTGGAGAACGGTTTAACCCCTGAAGGGGAGCCAGCACTAGGGACCTCCTGGCATTAGAACAACTACATTTTTATTAAGTTGTTATGGTACCTACACTGTTCCTTTAATAAGGAAAACCACCTTGACAAAACTAAGCAGTGTATATTTGTGCTTTATATAATTCACTGTGTATTTACTTCAAAATTGCATATTTGAAACATTTATTTATGTAATATATACATGAAAAATGTAAAGGCAAGCAGACACAATACCAAAAAAATAACTTAATTCCATTCAAATATGTAACAAAATAATTTTTACTCCAGTTAGGCAGACATGACACAACAATGGAAGTAATTCACAGAGGTGACATCCTGTGATTATTGGTCATTGAAAATGGGGTTCGCTCTAGCTTGCCAAAGATTAGTGGGAGTTATACTGATTTTTGCAGGCACCATCATTAATTCAGCTCTTCTCTCTAAATAGATGTGCTGGGAGAGTGGCTGGGGAGACAAAGGCAGCAGGATTTTCTATCACCAGCTCCTCTGAAGAGACGAAGGTTAAAGTGTTACTCCAAGCACTTTGACCATTTCCATGTTTTGAAATGGTCATGGTGCTTGGAGGCTGTTTGTGAAGCATTTCAGTTACAAATGCTGCACATACAGAGGTAATTGGTTTTGCTGCTGGTGGTGTAAGTTCACTTCTGGAAGCATTATTATTATTAGCTACATCTTGTTCCGTGCTGCGAACGGCAATTCTGTGCATAAAAAAATATTCATTGTACATCCAATGGTGGTATGGTCCTCCACTCGGTGGTGCTCTAAGTCCTTCCCCAGCCCTGCTTTAGTGGCATTCTTTACCCTTGTGGTTAGGGGTGGTGAGTACACCGGAGTATCAGGCTTCATGAAGAAATTTGTCTTGGCACTGAGTTGACTCTAAGTTGAGTTTTCATTTAGTTATTTATCATTTAGTTATTTATTTTAAAGGGGCATGGGAGCAAGCCACCAAGAGTTACAAAAAACGTGTTTTCTAAAATCACAGGTTTTTTGGGGTTGGAACAACCTTTTTTAAGGTTGTTCCAACCAAACAGCAACCGCGACAATCCCAACATTCCCAACTATAAACTTTGTATGTGAGTTTCAAAGCGAAATCCTGCACATACCCGTTCCTGGCACCATGACCACTTCAAATCACTGAAGTGGCCATTGGGATTGGAGTAACTCTTTAAGAGAAAATAATGCAAAATTGAGGTTACGGAGTCATTCATCAACCACTCAACTATCAGTCACACGGTTTGTTCTAATGTTTCCAGTACGCCTCAAATGCATTATTTTTCCATAATACACAGTTATGTATTTTACATATTTAAGATAAATCTTTATTGATCTGTTATAGGTTGATATCCAATAATTACTTTATAAAATCTTGAGTGAAAGTAAAGAAAGTAATGGTTGCTAAATACAAATAAGCAATGCCTACATTTACAGTAAAAAAAAAACGCTGATGTTCTCTACAGAAACTATGCAATGCTATCAAATGCTATTTTAAAGGTAAAATTCTCATTTTATGACATGAATACCTTTTAATAAAGCATTTACCTCTTCAAGGTTTCCTTATTTATCCTTAAAATATGAAATGCATTTACTTAACGTGAATGAACTCTAATAAAATCACTCATGTTTACTCTGGTATTCGCTGGCCATTATCAAACGTGTCTGTAGACCATTCATCTTGGGAAATGTTATTTGATTTTAAGCAACAAAAATGTCATTTTGTTGTTTGGGGGTTTTTTTCTGGTTTTTTTTTGCAAATGCAAAAAGGCATAGTGGTTTTATCTTCACGGTTTTTGTATTTCAAAATATGTATTAATTGATATAGAAAACATACAAGGCTGAGAACTTTTATGATTTCTTCTCTGGGTGTTTTGTTCTTGCGTGTCCCATTAATCACCTTGGTCACGTTGCTTGACTCGGTTTGCGTTTAGGCTTAGAATGCTTTTATGCCTGACACTTTCTGTCTTGCCCACAAACGATGTGAACAAATTTGAATGTAAAAAGCAGACAGACAAAAAAGGCTTTTACCGAAATCAAACATAGTTTAATATTAAAACACTAAATATAAAGGGAGATTTAAACTAATAAAGGTCAAAATACAAAAAAACTCATATTGATTTTTTTATTTTTTTTATATAAATTATTTTAGCACTGCTAGAGTTGTTTGTAAATTTCATAATGGCGTAAATATGAACAAAAATTTGAACTATTTTAAAATGTTTTCTGAGGTCACATTAAAATTGCACGCTATTTCTTAAAAGCGACATGTTCTGTGTATATTTTTCTTTATGACTTTCAACTGTAGTATAATATGTACTGATTTTTTTCGCTAATAAGACATTTTCTATGTATGAATCATTAAATCGTTATTGAGACTTTATTCATTCTATAGAACAGAGTTACTTGCGCACTACCCCAAATCCCTATGCACATTTAAATAACTGGAGGTTATTTAGAATCACTCCAACCGCCATTTAAGTGTAAGCTCACCTGCCATTTCAAGGTAAATGGTTGTATGTATTGGAGCTGATGTGTACTATAGTCAATGCTGCCGCCCAGGAGTAGTGGGAGTTTGAGCACAGGGCTTAATTTTGTATAATTTTTATTAATTCTATGTTCGTTTTTATAATTGATGTTTTCAGTTGTCACTGGTTAGTATATTCCATTCATGTCCCAATAATAAAGTATTGTTAATTCATATGTATAAAAATAAGAACAATTCTAACCTATATTTGCCATCCTCCTTGTCGTCCAAATAATTTATAAGTGACGTATAACCAGTTAGTCCTTTATAGGTAGGCTGTTTACTGGCTCCTTAACCCCTTAAGGACCAAACTTCTGGAATAAAAGGGAATCATGACATGTCACATATGTCATGTGTCCTTAAGGGGTTAAGTAGGAGAGAGGCTGAACTCACCTGATAGAACCATGATAAACAATGTTTGAGGGGGGAAAACTATCCCTGGCTGTTGGCTAAAACAGGAAAAAAGGACAGGGGATTCTAGAAAGGAAGTGGTTGTTATAGTAATGGGTAATTCATAATTAAATAATTATACTTGTCTTGCCAGGGTGATGCATCACCATACGTGATCTTTCAATGTTTAACCTCGAAATATATTTTGTATCTTGACTAAAATATAGGAAAAAGAATTTAAAAGACCATTTAAAAAAAAAAAAAAAAAAGTTTTTTTTTTTTTTTTTTTAAAGTACTATGGCTAAAGATGTGACAAGGGCCAGGGCTATTTCAGTACATTTTAATTGACATCAGGAATGTCTGATCTATTTCTTTAACAGAGAAAATGAATTTTATTTTCACAGACTATTTTTAAACATGTTTGACTTTGATTAATGCCAGTATTGATACTTTGAGGTTCGTTACATGCTCAGAAACACATTCACTTTGGAGGTCCTATAAAGGTGTACTGTGATAGAACTGGGGTATGCTTGGGAGTTTTTGAAAAGGGGACTACCCATGGGTGTGTCCTGAGGCAGTTTGGGGAATTAATATAAATATAACTGAATTCACTATATCTCCCATATGAACAGCATGTACAAGCAAGTCTTCAAAGGCTACATCCATTCAATCCATTTCATGTTATAGAACATAGCAAATAAGTTTAGGATATTCAAATGCAAAATCTCTTGGAGCAGAGTGCAAAAATATTAGTGATATTTTGGGGGGTTATGTATAAAAAAGAAGTCAGTGGAAAAGTTGAAAAGTGAGACAGTCAACAGGAATGCCCTTATGGTTGCTATAGTGACAGCTCCACTTTTAGTAAATTGCATTGCTCTGTTTTTGAACCCCCAATATGCCTCCATCCCTTTCTTAGCACTGATGGAGTTAAAAATCCTTAGCCTTTTGTAATATAATTCCTGATCACGTTTGGGCAGACTTAATGGATGTTTTAGATTTAGGTCTACTTTACTTCTGAAACATCATCCCGTCTACATGTTTAGGCCAGCTGTATAAAGATTTCCAAGAAAATCTTGGAATTGGACTTTGAAACACATTAGTGATGTATGCTCAGGATTTCACAGCTGGCCTTACTAGCTGGAATTAGGGTGAGGCTGTTCGTTAAGATTTCTATGTTTCTTTCTGACATATATTGCACTGTTGTTTATCTCTCATCAAAACCATAACACCTTTAATTGTGATTTCCTGGTATTCACTGTTTCTTCATAAATCTTTAATACATTTAGAGGTTTCAGGCTTTCCTACTGCCTTTAAGAGTTAGTTCATTCTTACTCAGACACCTACTGACTAATAGCTTTTAAAGAAGTTTAATTTTGCAAAAACACAGACACATACATATTGAGTGCTTTGTAATATATTCTAAAAATGTATAATTTTCCAAGTACTTTGAAAAAAAATTGCTATCATTCCAAAATGTTTCCTACGTGACTAATATCACTTTGTTTTCTGCAGTTTTGCATATACTTAATCAATATACAAAATGAGAGAGGATACATAATGCAATTGAAAAATAATACCATTGACAGATTCTCCATGCATCATAACCCGTGAGGCTGGAGGTCGAGTGGCTATTGGTGGCATTATTTTTCCCCAAACGCTTTATTCAGTTATGTACCATTGATATTACCTAAATAAAAAATATAGGGGAAAAAAAACATAATAATTAAGTTATTTTCCACAGTAGCTAGAGGGCCAGATATCGCCTGTTTTCTGTATGTATGCGACATACATACACCTACCTTCACTAGAGCTCCCTTACTTTGTATCATAGAGACATACATGTCCCTCGATAAATGAAATTATTTTTCCTAACAGGGCAGCTACAGCACTTTACGCAACCATCATAAATTCTGTCCTTTTCCCAAAAGCGATATATGAGCAGGGGGATTGATAGAGATAGGAGTGTGTATGAGTAAGGGGAGAGGGATAAAAGCAGCAGTTGCACCCTAGAAGTCTAGTTCCTTCAAACTTTAGGAGCCTGGAACTTGTATGTCCCGGTGCTTCACTGAGATTTTAGCCCTGATAGTCACAATATTATATCACACTGTGCAGCAGAGTTTGCTCATCACATCATACTGTGAAATGGAGGATTAAACAACAAAAAATAGCTTACCTATGAAAATAATAGGCATATCATGTATTTAGCAGATTACTATATGAATATATTGATAATTTATTAGGAAACTACACAAGGACCTTTGTTATGACCAAATTATGGATGTGACTCTCCTAGACAAACATTACTAAAGCTGCTTAATTATTGTGTACTGGCCATATAAAATATCGTCGTGGTACTTTAAAATCTATTTTATTTATATATATTTATGCCGAAAGGGGAACAGTCCCTTCTGTGGAATTTACACCAGTGAATAAAATATTGAAAATTATCTTGAGCTTCTGCTGAACTTTGTTGTAATGAGATGCTACATTTTCTTTTAAATTTATATAAAAATATTTAACAAACGACATCACAATCCAGTTGTGTCCAGGCACAGCCAGGTCACACATTGCAAATGAGAAGGAGTTATGTAAACATTGTTTCATGGTCTCCTCTTGTATGACTTCTTATTTCTCACTTTCACATGCAAAGGACAGATCTTGTACCAAAGATTGTCAAGGAACCAAGATGGACGCACCCATCTAAATGAAAAAGAGGTCTATGTTTTGACATTCCGTTTTATTTTTTACCCCCACAAATACATATTTGTTAAAAATATGGGATAAGTAAACAACATTATATTAAAAATCGTTGGATTTAACAATTGCCCTTTAATTGCTTTACTGTCGACTGTAGCTTTATTTATCATGGAATATTTGTCTGCACTGTTGTGTTTAAAAACCAGACTAAACCAAGAAAACTGAATTACAATGTGTAGCACAAATCTATGGCTGCCTCTCAATTTCTAATGCATAGAAGAAATATTATTGTAAATGCTTGTACTTATATGTTCTAAACAATAAGCACTAGTGGGTACTGGATTTCATTCCTCTAGTATGTAAATCCTTAACTTAATCGTATTGTTTAATTGCTTTGTCCATAAATTTGTATGTTATTTTTTCTGACTCTGGCCTAAAATTTTAAACCGTGATTGTGTTGATTAAATGAAGTATGTTTATATGTTGCATTATATTGAAAATGAAAAAGGTGTGTTGGATTCAGACAATTGAACTAATATTTCAACCTCCTCTTTGTGACTATAAATGTTAGTCTTTTGTAGCCTGGAAAAGTTTAGTATACAAATATATTTTATGTGTTTTGAAATGTATTTAAAGTGCAATGAAGAAGTATATAATGAAATATATAAAAGTTTTAAGAAATAAATTGTAAAGGTTATAATCCAAATATTCTCTCGGTCTGTTTTTTGTGTGATTTACAAGCTATGATTTATATTTCTTTCTTGGAATCACAATACTGATTTAGAATTCCTGGATAAATGTCTGGGAAACTCACGAAAGTAGTCTCAGAACTGTAATAAGAGCTACACAAACATATCATATAAGTCTTATTTAATAAAAACAAAATATACACACATACATATGTGTACATATATATTTAAATATGTTTTAGGTACACACTGATCCCACTTTTCATTTTACACTGATATAACACTTTCTATACAATTATCTATACATGAATCTCACACTAGTACTTACTATAAACTGTGGGATATCACACAATGATATAAAAAAAGAATGAAACTCAATGGCAAATTTGGCAACTTAATCAATTTATTTGTGATCTATAACATTGCTTTTTAAATTGTGAAGACCACCAGTAGCTCAAGATTTATTTAGATTCCTATCGGAACAGAGCTGAGCAATTTCTAAATGTGATCCATGGGTGTTTCAGTAGAACGGGTTTGAGTATAAAAAAAGCTCTAAAGCAACTCTGTCAACTAAATTAGATTTTGTCTTTATGAACTACTCATCTTGACTATGTTAGAATTTCACTCAACTTCCAAGACGATAAATAGAGATGATAAAACATAGTAGGGACTCTTTTGTCTTATGGTACAGCCTGAGGTTAACAAAAGGTGGATCTTCCGACAGATTTTGTAAATTTTCACCTGCTGTCACTAGGACCAGAAAGATAATGATAAAGATGACAGCACCCGCTTAAAGTAAGCTTACCTTCGTTTAGCTTTTCTTCCAGGCTGCCACAGGCTTGTCACCAAAAGTCTCAGAGACACTTTAATTGAATATTTGACCAAAAAGATCCAAATGAGGGTGATATTTACAAAACTCTGCCATTTGTATTTACCTAGATAAACCTTGAAATATTTCACTCCAAGAGACCTGGTTATCGCCAACACTAAAAATAATTATTACTATAGTAGAATATATACAAGAAGAGGTGAGAATTCTATGTGACAGACTTTTTGAAAGTGATAATTCATGAAGTCAGTTTTGCAGCACCTCTTAAATGCCATGAGTCGCTAGTACCTGCCCTCTGGAAAAGCCCTGACACCCAGACAAAAGGACAATGGTTCAGTAAGATGGAGTGATTAAGGCAGCCGAAGTTTTAATGGCCTCACTGACCGCAAAAAGCTTGAAGCATGTGGAAAAATGCTACCCGTGGATAGAATACGTAATTAGGACAGATGGATAAGGGCAAAGTATACAGGCAGTTACCCTTTAATGGCTGTGGGGGTACAGACCCCTCTTTCGAAACCTTTTTTCAAACATTTTTTTTGCTAATAATTCTCTCTCTAACATTCACTAGTACCTACATGCTGGTATTATGTTTTATTTATAAGGAATCATGGTTTATTTATTAAATAGTCAACCTTACAAGTGCCTGTAACAACTGCAGTATAAAAATGTTTTTTTTTACACAATTCAACATTACATTTTCTGATGCCACATTAACAGTGAAGGTAACTTCAAAAAGGCTGCGGTGTTAATGAAGACACAGAACCCGAATAACACTCTGTTTGAAATAGTCAGCCAAAAGTCTACAAGTTTCGTCTCTTGATGTGAGACTTTATCAAGACAAGATATAGGGTAGTCTTAATATCTTATATACACTATATCCTGGGCATAATTGGACTATTCCAAAAACCAGACATTGGACATAAATATATATATAATAAATGCCAGTATATAATCAATAAATATAAAAACCTTTATTAATCAGTTAAATATAAAAGTCGATATGCTCTTAATGCTCACAAAACCTAGCTAAAATAAAATTACAATTAAACCAGACTTGCAAAAGTTACAATTCTCATAAAGATATGTATACACAAGTATTCAAACATACCTACCAGCGTACCTACTATGGTCGAAGAGGTCGCAACTGCGACCAGGCTCGTCACTCCTGGAGGCCTGAACACAGCTGCGACCCCTGTGACCATGGGCCACCACAACTTCAGGGCCAGTACCCTGGCTTTCCGGTCGAGTGGTGACCGGCGGGAGGGGAGAACTGTGCTATGATGCTCCCGTTCTGCCAGTGTCTCTGTGTGTGTGTAGCGCGGCCAAGCACAGAGGCTGACAGGAAGCGTTCACTAAGAGAAGGGTTGATGGCTGGATGGGGGGAGTAAGAGTGAGGGGGCTTAATGAGGGTTGGAAGGGGGTGAGAGAGTGAGGGCTGGATGAAAGTGAAGGGGCTTAATGAGTAGATTGGGGTAAAGGGGGTTAATGAGGGCTGCATGGAGGGTGAGGGGGGTTAATGATGGCTGGATGAGGGCGAAAGTGGGAGTGAGGGCTAGATGGGGTGGGGTTAATGAGGGCTGGATGGGGGTGAGGGTGTTAATGAAGGCTGTGTGAGAGATAAAGTGAGGGCTCGATGTGTGGTGATGGGTTAATGAGAACTGGATGGGGAGTGAGAGGGGTTAATGGGGATGAGTGCTGGGGGAGGAATTGGGAAATGACACACATGGAGTAGCTAAGGGGGAGAGAATGAGACTCATGGAGGTGCTGGTGGGAGGGAGAAAATACACATGAAGGGGCTGGAGGGAGGGAAGGAGACCCATGGGGGTGGGACACAGGGAGGAACTGGGGGGGAAATGAGACACATGGAGGGGCGTGGAAGGGAAATGAGAAACATGAAGGAGCTTAGGGAGGGAATGAAACACATGTGGGGGGGGGAGGGGGGGAACCTGGGACAATGTTTGCACCAGGCCCGGTGGTTTCTAGTTACACCTCTGATATACACAAATCTCCAAAATATCTCATATATAAACCAGATCTGCAATTTGAAACCTTTATACAGATTGACAAATATATGGATGTATAGAAACCATACAAAACCTAAGTAAAACATAAAACCAATAATAAATATAAATGTGAATGATCCAATTCTTCATTCAAGCCATAGGGTCACAGAGTTTAAAAATCCACTTAGATTCAGCCGCTATAAAAGTTGCCTTTAGCCAATTTGTCCCCACTCACTTTCCATCTCAACTTGCTACTTTTATTTACTGTAAAATGTGTAATTGAATTCATTCCTTTACTTGCTAACATTCTAAATAGAAGCAATGTGTCAAATTTAATATGGATTTAAATAGAAAAATGTTCAGTTGTTTCTTCTAAGGTTCAACTCTTTAGAACGCTAATGCCTCCAACACAGTTTCGACCTCCTCGTCTTTTGACATCTGAAAAGACATTACCACCCTGGTGGTTGGATACAGAACCGGAAAATTCCATTTTTTTTTTCCTGTAGTAACTGCTGCATATTTTAGCCAGTTGCAGTTTGTTACAATCGGTGTCCTTTATTTTTAATTGTGCTCAGTTTGGGGTTTTATTTGACAATTTAAGTTTGCAAGGCAGACCTTTTAGCCACTCCCTCCTAACATGCAGAGTTATCTTTTACTATAGCTGTATTATTCTGACATTTTACATAGAAACGTTTCTGACAGATGTATAGCTGACACCTGAACTACAACCCCCCGAAACCCATACAAACATAAAGTAGTGGCATCACTACAGTGGGAACTGGAGACCATTGCCCTCACGTGCCTTCTTTAAAAAGCCTTAATCTAACTTTTATTACATTACACAATATATTATATAAATAATATAATAATAAATATATGGTTTCATCATAAACTCACATAAATTGTAGCCGCTAGGTTCTTCGGCATACCCGCTGAGTCCTTACTGAAATGAATGATGTGCCACCAGGGATTATTTATTAACACACCCTGTCCCAGAGTTTTAAAGCAATCCATGTGTGAGTATCAAGGAGCTTAAAAGCAATCATTTTTGAGTTTGTATGTCGTGTGTCTCTGTAAATGTAGCACGGGCTCCCTTAACTATTTTAACAGATCTTTGGCGTTTGTAATTAATGGATGACCGACTGTCCTTTCCCCATTCATAATGTGGTTTCTGATACATCCCTGGCATAAAGTACAGGTGTTGTGGGATTTAACCCCTTAAGGACCAAACCTCTGGAATAAAAGGGAATCATGACATGTCACACATGTCATGTGTCCTTAAGGGGTTAAGGGAGTTGCTCAATACTGCCATATAAAATGGTGGGATCATCGTTGTTCATTTGGTTCCTAGGAAGAACTTAATGAGGAAGATCCAAAGCCTGTGTATTTACAGCAAGTAAAGGAATATGAAAATAGATCCCCAGCCAAAACAATACATAAAAATACTGAACTGGTCTGGGAGCTAAATTAAACAGCCTCTTCAGGCTATACAAACTATACAAAATGAAGCTTAAACAATCTAATTTTTATGGCAAAAGTTCTAAAAGGCATAAAGGTTTTGTTGGTGCTTGTAATGTTTTTAAACATCTGTCGTGAATACTATTTGTACAGCATTTTTTTTTTTAAAGTAGAACAATCACTATTACAGGGGTAGGTAACCTATGGCACTCCAGGTATTGTGAAATGCATCTCCAACAATTCTCTTACAGCTGCAATGCTGACAAAGCATCAGGGAACATGTAAACCACAACATCTGGAGTGCCGAAGGTTTCCTACCCCTGTGCTCTATGTGATGTAAAACCCCAATGGATATTGCATACTTATCTTGACAGCATGTTGAAAAAGTATCTACACCTAAAGAAAGGACTGCTACTCGTGACTATTTCCTACCTTTGATTTTCACATATGGAAGAAGTGGTGGTTAAACTATCTCTACACAATCTGTAAAGCTGGGAGACAAACCCTTTCTAATTTCTGCAAAGAGGTGCTCATTCTTGTTGGGGGTGTCCACTTCTCTTCGAGTATACAATTAATTCCGCTATGGGGCTCACTCTTCCTCTTAAAGTGAATAGTTTCCTCTGTTTATTCATGCTCCCTAAAAGATTGCCTTAAGTGGGCTTTCATATAATTATTTCTACCTACCTACCTACCACAAATGACATAACACAGCAAGCAATGCTTGGACAAGTTGCCCATCACCACTGTAAGAGAGAGGACACCTCTTTGTGAGCCTGGAACCTGTGTGATACCTGTGTAGATATATTGAAAACCCATCCATGCTCTTATTTAGAAAATAAAAGCAAGGGAAATGATAACATTTATAATAAATAAGGTAGAAGCAACTGAGGAAACACAGTTAATATGTTGCCACACAAGATCAGTTCAATATCATGTTTTACTTCTCCTCGGCATTAATTCCATTTTTTTGTGCTATTTATATTCTTATGTTGTGATTTCATTCATGTCAATTTGAAAAACACAAAGTTGCCAATTGCAAAAAACAACCAAAAAAATGTGTAGATATCATGGAATAGTATAAAAAAAATCATCATCACCTCGGCAAAGAATCACTCCTTAGCCCAAATGATTCTAGTTTTTTCAATACATTTATTTAACAGTAGCAGGACCTGGTTGCTTTGTTATTAAACATGAAAACCTATTTAATTGTTTGCTAAAAATACTTATTACTGCACATAAAATTAACAATTTTAAAAAGGAAAAATGCTGTGGAAACATATGTAGATTTCTGACCAATTCTGTCATATCACCAAATTAAAAGTGGTGATTTCAAATCTAATGCTTTTAATTATCTTTGCAAATACATTGGGAAATGTTGCCTGATTCTATTAATTCTGAGTGACGATTTACAGAAATAAAATGTAAACCCCTCATCATCAGATATTTTAGGTTGATCGTTTGGTTTGGAATTTCATGCCTAAATAAATAAAACCAAATAGAAATAAAAAGATATGTTTCTTGCATTCAATGTCAGCCTTTGAAGAAGCAGCAGTTTACAAAGATGAAAGGATTTGATGATAAAATTACTCCAACATTGGCTTCTACCTGTGAACCATTAAAGTTGGTGCCATATTTTCAGGATATGTTCTCCATTGTTGAAGGATAACTAGTCAGACTGTGGATGTGAAGGAAAACAAAGACAAAATAATATTCTATAGAGGTTAGAGACATAGTAACACAAAAAGGCAAATTTTAATAAAATAACATAAAATTGTAGAAGTCGTTGAAAATTCCTTAACCAGAAAATGATTTCTAAATGAGACCAGTCCAGGTCATTTTTTAGGTGTTCTGCGGCGTTTGTGAACTCCTAACACACCATATATTAGATTTGTATCTATTTTGTTATGAACTGGAATTCGTACTAATTTGGATCGATCAGATAATCATTTGAATTCACAATGTTTGAATGGCCATATAGACTAATTACAAAATTACTCGCACAATGGACAGGCATGGTCTTTTTGATTTGTAATTCAGAGTTGCATTTATGGAACAAAAAAAAAAGAGGGAAATGGAATGAAGAATAAACTGTTTTTTGTTTTTGCTTTTTGGGGTGGGGGCAAATAAGCATCTTAATTTGCCATGGCAGACAAGAGGTCTGCCCAATTATGTAGGCTGAATCTCCTGTCCAGTCAAAAGGTAGAAAACATAGAGATAGAGACAGTGAGCGTCAGCCACTAAATGTTCATTTTATTCACATACTAAGTGAATACTGATTAATAGAGGAAAATGTAGAAGCAGTAAAACATTCTATACTTTCAAACAAGATTCTTGCAGAGACTTTGATTGCAGCTCTTGAGAGAGACAGACCATCAGTTGTTATATATTTTACCCTTGCCATGCCTGTTTGGGAGTTGGAGATAGACTGTGATGCTAGACTAGGTTTAGGTTACTGCTGTATCTACCTTGCTAGCTACTGCATTTAAAACAAACATAAGTGGGAGAAAGAAGATAGCCTGTTTCATTTATCCTAGTGTGAGGCTAGTGTTTAGATAAGCCTACTGCTAGCCACTGCCACTTAACACCAATCTGAAATTGCTAATTATTCACTAACCTCATTAAAATAATATAATACATTAATTAATTAAATTACTCCTGCTGCTGTTACTCCCATTTAAAAAAAAAAAAAATGCCTTTCATTGTAGATATTTTGCCCTGCCTGACCGAGTCTTACAGTGCTTGCTACCTCTGGAGTCGCATTTGGGCACTGTTTTTCACACATTGAAGAACGGTCACTGATGCTACAGACTGGATGTGTGGGAATGCTTTGTTCTTCTCAGGGTGGAAGGATGGGTGAGTAGTCAATAAGCAACGGTGGAAACTATTCATTTAAATTAACCAAACTGCAACATATTTTGAAATTCTCATATTTGCTCATGGTAAATCCAGCTGAAATTGTATTATTTCAAGTGCATAAGCACATCTCATTTGATACCATAAGGTGGTATACTTTAAAATCAGTAAGCCTCACATGTAAATTCAAATAAAATTTAAGAATCATTTATTAACTTTCCAGGATTTCAACTGTATTTACTCTGAATTAATCCATTAGAAGGCAAATTTTCTAAACAAATCCACCAGCATTTTGAAGAAGAACTTACAGAAATCCAGTCTATGTGTGCCAATGACAGCAGAAGCAACCAGCGGCCAGATCGTTATAAACTAATCTTTTTTGCCTGCTGGTTCCTACTACTGCCAATGAGCAATATTACATTTTGATTTAATGCGTGATATTTATACAATAATTGTGGTGAAAGCGGCCTCGCCACTGGTTTTTGGAGGGGACTGATTGCCAGCCTCATGCCTTGGGACTATGGCCCCTGGGAGATTGGGCACTTTAAAAACAGTCTTGGGGCTTATGGACTTCTATTGGACAGTGTATGCCCTTGCTAAACTTTAGCCCCATGGCGATTTTGTTCTTTTCGTGGTATCTGAGCGTTTTTTGGATATATTGAGCTCTGAGATCCAAGCTATCTGGGGATAGGTTGAATGTGGGGGTTCTGTTCAGTATTATAGGAATTATTTATTTTTATGTGTTTTTACTGTTGTTGTAAATGGAGATATTTTCTGTATGCTGGAGATAATTGGCTTACCACACCCAAGCCATGCTTGCAGTTGGTCAAAAGGGGACTTCCAACTACCTTTTGAACCACTGGACCAATTTGTATGATTTTGACATATGTTTGTATTTGGAGTATGCTGATTCTGAAAATGTAAGTGTAAGTGTAAATGTAAATGCGAATATGATGTATACATTTAAAGTTATGAATATTGTGTAACATTGTGTATTTTCCTGCCTGTGATAATTACGTTAGCCCATTGTGTTCAATAATTATATCACAGGCAGAGAGGAGGATTTTGTGTGTAATTGCTGGGAGTGTTTGAGTGTATTGTACGTATTGATTAGTTGTTCTGCAAAACCCTGTGGGTAGTACTATGTGTGTAAAATGTGCATAAAAGCAGAGTGTTGGATTAAAGCTTCAGTTCTACTTCACCCTCAGTTTGGAGTGCCGTCTCTTATTGGGGGAATCTGCTACAAGGGATTGCTGTGCTAGCCATACTCTCTTGCTATATCACTACTAAGCTCTTGTAAGAGCTTGTTCCTGTCTTGCTCTCTGAAGGAGTCTACGGTGGTTATGGTGTCGGCTGGAGTGCTTGGAGCCCTCAGGAAGCGCTAGGAGCACCCTTCAATGGAGATACCCAGTCGGAGTGCCAGGTGATCTGTTACATTGGTGGCAGCGGTGGGATGGCATCCTAGTGCGAGGTAAAGCAGCTCAGAGACACCATTCGTGGATTTATAATTGAGGGTAACGCTAGTATCCATACAGCGCCCCTATCTACCAAGGAACTAACTTTCGCAAGCATGGCGCCCAGCTACACTCAGGAGAAGTTTGACAGAGAGGTTAATGCAGTGCTGGCTTTCTATGGACCCAACCCCTCGGAGAGACCCTCGCAGCACGTGAGGAAAATAATGGGTGAGTACCTGCAATTCCTAGCAGAGTTGGCTCCTCAATTCGGTTCGGTTCGGCACTTCGGCAATTCGGACATTCGAAAGCAAATTTAAATTCGGAACAAAATAAATTGAACATGTCTATCAGGATTATTTATAATGGCTTATAAAAAAAAGTCCAAAACTAAAACAAATAGAAGTGTGGAGAATGGACAGCCTTGTCAGGTGTCATTGTTAATATTAAAAGAGGGAGAGATCTGACCATTGATGTGTTTATTAGCATATGTACCATTGTAAAGACTTTCCATCCAGGACCTTCATTTTGCCCCAAGGCCTTACAATACGCAGAAGACAGGACTAGTCTACCTTGTCGTATGCCTTTTCTGCATCAACGGAAAGTAAAAGTGTGGGAGTGCAGGAAGCATTAGTAACATGAATGATATTAACAATTTTAGTAGTGAAAATTAAACCTTTTTCATACAGGGTCTCCCTGCCCTGTATGAATCTTGTATGATCAAAATGAACCAGTCCAAGAAAGAAGGACTTAAGACAGAGAACTAGCATCTTGACACTCTATTTTAAATCTGCACTAATGAAGGAAAAGGATCTATAATTTTCATATACATCCCAGATAGAATGACAGTAATGAAAGTGTGAAACATAGGTGGAGGCAGTGAAACCAAGGGTGAGATACCATTAAAGGTTTTCAAAAATTACTAGTTACTAGTTGGGTTAGGAATGTCTTATAGTGTCTGATTGTCAACCTGTCCATACCATGACTCTTCTAGAGTCGATTTAAATGCAATAGGCAGCTCATCCGCTGTGAAAGGCACATCCAGTGCCTTGGCTGTATTGGAGTTAAATGTGCGACAAATGCGTGAATAACTATAATCCAAGACAGTAGCTTTATCACACAATGGTTTTGGTAGGTTGTATAACTATTTATAAACTGCATAGAAAGATTTAGAAATTTTTTTTTTGTAGTAAAATAAGATGACCCTTTATGGTCAACAATTTTAGAAATAAGAGAAGCTTAGTGTCCCTGCTGAAAGGCCCTGGACAATAACTTTTAATAATTTATTACCATAAGATTAAAAGATACAGCAAATGAAAGATTACACTGTGCCTCAAGGTTTAGCAGTTGCCGTAATTGTATTATCAACACTGTAAGCTTTCTAAAAAT